TATATTGGTGTATATTCCGAGGTTCGAGGTATATTCCTGATCAAAGACCGGTGGGACCATGGCGCGGCAGTTGGACTATTTCACTCCTAAATAACAGGGTCGTGGGTTCGAACCTAGGGTGCGGCACCACTTGCGGTTAGGTAGGACTAGCTGACGATGGCTAATAAGCCAGAAATGGCCATCCTATTCTGCCTTGTCTTTTTTGATAATGTCCTTTTGCATATATATACAGGGTGTCCCATAAATTTATACACATTTTAAATAATTTTAAATTTGGTGTTTATTATAATTTTATTATTTCGGCAGGATTTGAGCCCGCCTAGTAGAGAAAGCCTTTACCGGAAGTCAACGTCCTAAGCACTTTAGCTACATGTGCGGGTTCAAATCCAGCCGAACGCTTCGAGTTTTTCACAATTGGGTCAACTCAAATCAAGCGAATCTGCCGAGCCTCCTAATAATTAAGTCAGCCCAGTAGTCATTCTGGTGGATTCTAGATGATTGCTTAGGAAATCCTGCTTGGACTGTCAGCTTGTTGTTCCGTATTGGTGATCATTCTGGTGGATTCTAGATGATTGCTTAAGAAATCCTGCTTGGGCAGTCAGCTTGCTGTTGCGTATTGGTGGATTATATACGAGCGGTAAAGTTGGGCTGGCGAGGTGGGGTGTTTGTAGCTCAAGTGCTTAGAGCGTTGGCTTCCGGTAAATGCCTTCTCTACTATGCGGGTTCAAATCCCGCCGAACGCCTCGAGTCTTTCACAAGTGGGTCAACTCAAATTAAGAAATCTGTCAAACCTCCTAATAAGTATCATGTCATTGTTCTTTCTACTGCATTTTGACTATTGCAACAGCAGCTGAATTGAGAGAAGCCATTGAACATGAATGCATCCGAATACGAAGGGAATTGTTTCATTACGTGTGCGATTCCATTGCTTTGCGTTGTCAGCAATATCATGATCAAAATGGACGCGAGTTTGAGAACATTCAGTGAAAAAGAAACAATAAAATGTTACTTGTACATATTTTATCATTTCTGAAATAATAAAATCGGAGTATGTTTTTTAATGATAAAATTATGGCAAACACCAATTTTGCAATAATGTAAAATGAGCAAATATTTTTATTCGAATACTCTGTTTATAGCAATTGTGCTGAAAATTTGATTCCCGGGTAGTTGTCTCGTCTACCCATCTTCAGAGAATAAATACTTTAGCTCACGCTCCTCGTCCTTATGCCGCCCTTTCTTGCGTATGTCTGTTCTACCAATCATGGTTGAATCCCTGTGTCCCTGTTTATGTTTTATAAGGATGGCCTACATTGCCAGAAGTGATCTTATAGAACATACAACCATGGTTCACGAGATTGCCTTCTATTTTCGTATACATGTATACATATTTATGATATTATCAAGCATACACACACATACAAAAACGCCCGTCTGTTTCTGCCTAGGTGAGTTGTCAAGTCGCCCCGAGGATGACATATCAGCACCTTGTTCATCAGCCAATGCGTAACCTTGGTCTGACAGCCTACGGCACCATGACTGGCTCCGGTCCAGGTGGCACGCGAATCCTGCGTGCCGGCAC